ACACACACACACACACACACACACACACACACACACACACACACACACAAAATCAATCAATCAATCAATCAATCAATCAATCAATCATTGATTGATTGCAATTGGTTCGTTGATTGATTGATTGATTGATTGTTTGTGTGTGTGTATGGGGGGGGGGGCAGTGTTTTTCCACCGGCCCAACAAACTAAAAATATGAAGAAAAAAAAAATCATCACCGATTTTGCTTTTTTTATTTTATTTTTTATTTCCATTTTCGTTTTTTATTTTTTTTCTCCTTTCCAGTAGATGTCACAAAAATTATTAAAATGATAGGCATGTAGAGTTTTTTTTTAATTTACACGCCCATTTTTTTTAATTTGTTTTTCACCTATTTTTAGGCCCTGAAAAAATTCTTGGGGTTTCATGCCCGCACTCGGCCGCGGGCAGTCGGCGGGCGGTAAAATGGCCCGCGGTCACGACCGCGGGTGATACATAGGTATTAACCCTGTAACCGTGTCAGGGGCTTGCCGATAAGGGAAATGTCGAGGGAGGAAGGCACTTCCTGTCCATCAGAACTAGGTTGGTCAGTACTGGGGAAGGTTGTGGTGCCCTTTTACCCTAGCAGAAGGGGGTATGAGATCAAGTGAGTTCTGGTACGAGGACTGAAAGCCTGGACCGACATTCCGTCCGTTGAGAGGGGGAGTTTTGGATAGTAGGCAGTTTCAGTTTTGACCCCCCGCTCTCATATTTTTCCAAGCCTATTCAGACTTTTTCTGAATTTTAGCCTATCTCATGAGGTAAGTCTTGAGAATGCCTTAGGATTCTGGGTACTTCTTGCAACTTATTTTAGGCTTTTTTAAATGCTGTTATATTCATGGATCTGCGGTTTTTCGACGCCAGAACGACGCTGGCCGGAGCTGGGGGGTTGCCCTGTAACCTGTTGATAGCAGGAGCATGAGGCCTGGTAGAGAGATCTGGGGACGCCTTGGGCCGGGCATTCCAAGGGAAAACCAAGGGTTGCTGTCGGTTCGACGCTGGCCGGAGCTGGGGTGAGTTGTGTGGCCCTGTAACCTAGCAGGATGGGGGATGAGGCCTGGGAAAGCTCGGCAGGGAATAAGACAATGTTGGAGAATTTTACTATTATTTTGTTGGGGATTCCAGGGGTTCTGAGAATTCAAAGGGCTTCTGCGGCTTTCCTTTTTGACTTAGCAAGTGCTGCTTGAGTAGCCTAGCAATAGGTTAGCAGTTATCAATGTTTTTCTTAAATTTTCCAGAACCTTTTTCATAATTTGCAGATTGTTCTTAGCCCAAGCCAGGTAATGGCCCTGGTATTTCAAATCATTTGTATTTAATAATTCTATATGGGACGCTGGGCCCCGTTCCCAGCACGTGTTGCTCCCCACGAATAGACTGGAGCATTTGCCCCCCCCCCAAAAAAAAAAACAGCATCAGCCAATCGGAAAAAAAAAAAAAACAACAACCCTTGAACCCCTCCAAAACCCATCCACACGAGTAACCGGTCTCCAGTGGCCTGCCCTCAAAATTCCGGGCGCCGCCCATAAATTCAGGTCGCCCACCTAAGGCTTTTTTTTTTTTTTTGCCCTTTTTTGAGGGGAGGTGGAGATGTGGCGCCACATCTTCCGCCTCATATCCACCTCCTCTCCCACCCACAGGACGGGCCGTTTTTACTCCGTTTGCCCATTTTTTTACACACTAGAGGTTCGAAAGGGCAAAAAACATGCTTGGGTAAATGCGTGGTGTTTTTTTGGGGGGCACAAGCACGTTTTTTTTCCTTTTCTGCATATCGTGAGTAAATGAGAATGAATCTTCCGCTAGAACATGCGAATATACAAGGCAAAGAAAAAGAGATGGAAAGAAAGATGCACGGTTCGTTGCCACGCCCTCGTCTCCTCCGGTTGGCGTTCTTGCGGGTGTGTATAGATGAAAGACACACACACACACACACAAAAGAGAGAAGAAAAAAGAGGACGATGAAACACAGACTGCTGTAGACTGGATTGGTTCTTCTTTTTTCGCTTTCATTGTTCTCTCGTCTTCCCCTGTGGAGGCAGTGCATTGACTGGGTATCAGATTCAATCAGTGCATTTGTGGGCATGATGAGTGAGCCGAGGAGTCCTTATGATGAACCCTCTCTCTCTCTCTCTCTCTCTCTCTCTCTCTCTCTCTCTCTCTCTCTCTCTCTCTCTCTCACCATCCCTCCCTCCCTCCGGTATTTGGCCATGGCACGGAAACGGGGCAGGCATCGCGATCCTTGTGTGATTGTGTGACTTCCAAGCGAAAAACGGTGCTCCCCCATTCATCGACCTCCACTCACCGTTTGTTGTCCTCCTCTCCTTGCTCCCCTGATTCACCATCCTCAGGTTCTGTTCGTTTCGCTCCTGCCACTCGTGCTGCGTCCTCTCCCTCCTCACCGCGCTCCTCCTCCTCCCGCTTCTCCTCCTGTTCGTGTTCGTCGTCCTCCCCCTCCTCATTCTTTCCCTCGTCTCACTCGTGTTGCTTCCTCTCCCTCCTCACAGCGCTCCTCCGCCTCTTCGTGTTTGTCGTCCTCCCCCTACGCATGCAAGTATGCCAATCATCCTCATGGATATTTGAGTATCTCGTGTGCAACTCCGTGGTTTTCTGAATCGTTCTTGAGTGGTGCTACGTGGTAGAAGGCTGAAGAGGGCTGAGGACTTGGTCTTCATAGAGTCATGCTGGTACAGTGTATCTCAATAGTGGATGCTGCGTGAATCTGCCGGAAATTGATTCTTTTGTTCATTCACATATGCCTTGAGTAATAAGGTGAGAAGTGGGGCTGAGGGTGATGGATTAAGCAAAATGCGGGGGGTGATTATTGGGTTGCTTCTTATGTCAAATCTTCACCTCCCTTTTTCTTGACTACCGGTTCTTTGTTCGTCATTCTCTTGTCCACTGCAGTGTGCTTCATGTTCACACTTGCATTTGAGCTTTGCGGCATGAATTGAAAGTGGATTGGTATACGTGGTTTTTTTTTTTTT